GAACCCGCAGATTGCGAGTCGAGCGCCCTAACCACCTTGTAATGTTAGACTGCATATTATAATTTACTAAGTGATCGATAACACAGGCTTGCGATGGTTTTATTGTCTTGGAATTTTTACATGTTCTACAGTTATTCCTGTAAGTTGAATCGGAAAATGATATCCATTTTTCTCCATCACGTACAGATTTTTCATCAAACTTCATATGTACTTTTTTTTTTTCGTAAGTGAATCATTTTGTTATGCTTAAAATGTTGACAACCACTGGCTATAGATTTCTCTAGACCAATCGCGACGTGAGTCTTATCGATTGTTCTAGAACCCACGAGAAACACACCTCTAGTATATAAACGGTTAACAGGGCGCATGACGTGTCATTTCTGGATAGTATTTGTTTGTGCGTACAGTTCGACATTATTAATAAATTTTCAATATTATTTATTCGCCGCTATGGCAACAAGAGGTTGTGTAAATGACCCAAACATATTCCGTTAAAATAGTTTTAAATTTTATCTTTCTTTTTCATATCACCAAAGATAAAATTTAAATTAGATCGTGTAACGTAGATATCCAAAAATTTCTTTTATTGACCGCGCATTCTCCTCTTGATTGCAGTTTCCTATAATGCAAAGCGCATCTGGAGCCAGCCAACCGAAAGAAATAAACAGTTAGGCTTATTATAACGGTAATTTGTAAATAATATTTATGGGGTTTTAAATTCATTTTCAATTACCAATAAAGTAACCTCAAATAATTTAGGTATTTGGATAATGTGAGAGCTCGTGCCTAAATCTTTATTTTACATTATATATCGGACCAAGTATTTAATGATTACATATATATATATCACAAGTTTATTTTCAATTTCATCACAGGTAAAATTGAAATTAGAATCTGTGACGCCGAGGCCTAATGACGTAATGTTTTCTTTGATTGGCCGTACCCTCTGTTATGGACTGTAGTTTCGCATATTGGTGGCTAATCAGCACAGTTTGGGCTGGCAAATCAAAGAAATACAATTAGGCACAATCTAAAAAAAATTATAATATGAGAATGTAAAAACATTGATATTTGAAATATCGTTATCAAAAAATGAAAAAATATATATATATAGTTTTAAAGCAATTTGAAGTGTTTCGGAAAATCTGTTTATATTTTATTTCTACAATTAAATTGTTTTTCTCGGGAAATTAAGAATTACATAATTTTTGAGCGTCATAAAGCCGTAAACTTACCGCTGACCCACCGGGGGAACGGGGATACGATCAATATCAACTGTTCATTTCACAATATATTTATCCCCTTTTGGGCCTTGCGATGTTAAAATCCGGGGTTCGATTCCCGAAGTGCTGAAAAACAACAAATTTGACGATGTTATTATTTGGCATTTTACACCAATATCACATAGAATACTTGTTAAACATTTTGCTAATTTAAAATACCCGACATCTGTTAAATGGATTATTGAGCCATAAGTTTATTAATTATATTGTACAATGTAATAGTCTTTTAAATTGATTGTTATATATCTCAACCTATTTGGTGTGAAGTTGAGCACAAAGCTACACAGTGGGCTATCTGTGCTTTGCCCACCACGGGTATCGAAACCAGGTTTCTAGTGTTGTAAGTCCGCAGACATACCGCTGTGCCACTGGGGAGCAATTATGTTTGTTTGTAATTAAGCACAAAGCTACACAATGGACTTTTTGTGTTCTGCTCACCACGGGTATCGAAACCCCGTTTCTAGTGTTGTAAGTCCGCAGACATACCGCTGTGCCACTGGAAGGCTTATATTTATTTAAAATAATTAAAGAATAATTGTGAAGTGGGTTATTAAATATTTTACCACTTTTTAATTTAAAAATATCCTAATTTGTGAAACAAAGAAAGCCTGACATCTTTTGAATGTCTTTGGCTACTCAATTATCTGGCAAAAAAAAAATGACACTACGTTTTTTTTTTGTTTTTTTTATTTGATTTTATATTATGTCTTAATGTTCCTTTTATTTTACCTGTCGTTACAACAACTATTTCTGTTTTATATTAAACCAGGTAAACATTGCTTACGTAGGTGTCGTTGTGTATGTGAGGCAACCGTTTTGTAGAAATTACCTGCATACGAAGATCGAGTCATCTTGAAAAGCGTCCTCCAGTGGCTGAAAGGTGAGTCACTAGGCTTATAATAAATACGAAATAAATAATTTCTATTTTATGAGTTGTTTACTAATAAGTATGGTCGAAGTGAGTGAATTATTTATCTATTTTATGAGCTGTTTACTAATAAGTATGGTCGAAGTGAGTGAATTATTTATCTATTTTATGAGCTGTTTACTAATAAGTATGGTCGAAGTGAGTGAATGATTTATCTATTTTATGAGCTGTTTACTAATAAGTATGGTCGAAGTGAGTGAATGATTTATCTATTTTATGAGCAGTTTACTAATAAGTATGGTCGAAGTGAGTGAATGATTTATCTATTTTATGAGCTGTTTACTAATAAGTATGGTCGAAGTGAGAGAATGATTTATTTATTCTTTGATATCAGTTATTATTTCTGCTCCTAACCTTATTTCAACGAAACTTTAAACATGATATTATATCCATGTATTTTGTAACAGGAGTGATGTGGTGGTTAACGTGCCAGACTGAATCTGGGGATTCATGGTTCGTGTCCCTATTTGCGTTGGTGCATTAGTGTGACGGCCAAATCCCTATATTTAATTAAAGAAGCCCAATAATTGGTTGTCGGTGCAGTCATATCAGATTTCCGTTAATATCCGAAACAAACTGATAATATAATTTTTTTTTCGTTATGATTTTCAAGCGTTCTCCAAAAAGAGCATTAAAAATATATCCACGAGCATTTCTTTAATGTACTAAATGAAAAAAAAAAGACTTAATGAATGTTATAGAAGAATATGCAAAGTACACGTGTATTGTAGTCTAAAACCACTAGCACTTTACAAAACATAGCAGTTGATAAGCTGTCCGTCAAGAGAATTAGGGCTGAACTATCTGGTTAAACTCGGTGATGATATTAATACTGAGATAACCATTTAAACCACGATTTAGTTTCGTACTTTCAGAACTGTTAACAGTTTACAACATTTAAACCTACGATTTAGTTTCGTACTTTCAGAACTGTTAACAGATTACAACATTTAAACTAGGATTTAGTTTCATACTTTCATAACTGTTAACAGTTTACAACATTTAAACCACGATTTAGTTTCGTATTTTCATAACTGTTAACAGTTTACAAATTTAAACTAGGATTTAGTTTCGTACTTTCATAACTGTTAACAGTTTACAACATTTAAACCACGATTTAGTTTCGTACTTTCAGAACTGTTAACAGTTTACAACATTTAAACCACGATTTAGTTTCGTACTTTCAGAACTGTTAACAGTTTACAACATTTAAACTAGGATTTAGTTTCGTACTTTCAGAACTGTTAACAGTTTACAACATTTAAACCACGATTTAGTTTCGTATTTTCAGAACTGTTAACAGTTTACAACATTTAAACCACGATTTAGTTTCGTACTTACAGAATTTTTAACACTTTACAATACCACTGAGATGACAATTTTCCAGGACAAACTAAAACTGTTTTGTGAATTAACTATTGAAACTGTGAAGTGTAGTGTATTTATTTATTTTTCGTCGAATTTTTGCAATTAATACAAATTTTAAAGGGGGGCTATAGTAACTACATTAAATAAACATATCGTCCCCCACCCACTGCTATATACATAAATACACATCTCTTTCACCTACTCATATACACACACATATATATATATATATATATTCACTGCACCGAGTCATAGACAGCGCGAATCTTACGCAGCATATCCAAACCTTAGATGAAATATAATTAAATGTAAGCTCATGAGAGAGAGAGAAAAAAATCGCAGCCACAATACAAACATATATATATACACACTCCCTCTACCGGCTTCCACACATATGCACAAAGAATCCCTAACAGTGCGACATCTAAAGGAAACAGAACTGTCGGTACCTTTGATGGTAGATAAAAAAGTAAATTCAGACAACTAGGTCAAGAACAAAAAAGTGTCGCACATATAAGACAGGTAGATAATACTAGGATACAAATTACTTGAGGTAAGGGTAAACATTTACCTCAGTTATAGGGGTAGAAGCAGAAGTATTGCCCCCAGATGAGCAGATTGCCAGATTTAATCCCTCATTGACAAACCTCATATGTAAAATAAAAATCGAAAAAAATTTAGGTTGCTGGTATGAGAGCAATTAGTAATACTTGTCTCCTAAAGGTGGCGCTACAATCGTCAAAATAGTTACATATCTGCATAAACAGCACAATAAAATAAACGATGCTTATATCAATAATTACTACTATTAGACGATTAACTTTACTACCTCCACCCCCCAGAATTTCATAGAAGTAGTAATACACCCTTCCTCCTCCCAGATTCACGTGCTGTTGGAGTTCTTTTTTAGAGGTTTGTGTTGAGTTATCGATATTATTATAATCCCTTTGCAACTTCCCATTACCGGTAGATCGGTATTTTGGAATTATGAGTATCAGTTGTGAAAAATGAGTTGCCCCTTTCAATCAAACCTGAATTGCATTACATTGTATACGTGCATCGTATAATTTGAGCTTGCTAATGCTTTAAGAGTCACGTATTAATAAAAGGCAACAGTGACGGTTAGTCGGATATTCGAAAGCGATTCGATTTTCCACGGAATTCGATCTCAAAATCACGAAATCATTTCTAGACTAATTGTCTTTGAATACGAAAGTCTACCCTTGAAGACACGCCTTTAAATGATTAAATATCCAATAGGATTGAGTAATTACGGTAATTTCCCACGTTTCACGTGCTTACATTTTTTTACAGTCATTTACATAATACAACACAAATTGACCTGCTAAATCAAGAACAAATCCACGCAGACATGTTGTTTTTAGGGCCCCGGCATGGCCAGGTGGTTAGGGTGCTTAACTCGCAATCTGAGGGTCGCAGGTTCGAGTCCCTGTCCCACCAAACATGCTCGCCCTTTCAGCCGTGGGGGCGTTATAATGTGACGGTAAATCCCCCTATTCGTTGGTAAAAGAAAAACCCAAGAGTTGGCTGTGGGTGGTGATGACTAGCTGTCTTACACCGCTAAATTAGGGACTGCTTGCGCAGATAGCCCTCCTCGTGTAGCTTTGCGCGAAACTCAAAAACAAAACAAACAAATGTTGTTTTTAGTAAAGGGTAGACTATATTCACTATATTGTTTCTACTTCGTAGTTTTGAATTTTTCTAATACCCTTCGTTCGTCGTGTTTTCTAATGTTGGATTCAAAATGGCCGATGATTATCCAATTCGATTTAACGAAAAACGATAGCAGTGTGGTATGTTTGAATTTTGGCGTTAACATTTAAAATAATTTGTTATATTTATTTACCAAACTCTTAATTTCTTAATTTACAGTGTTTACTACATTCAGTCATATTCACACAACTGAATACACTGAATTTACAGTGTTTACTACATTCAGTCATATTCACACAACTGAATGCACTTAATTTACAGTGTTTACTACATTCAGTCATATTCACACCAACTGAATGCACTTAATTTACAGTATACTTCTTATACGTTTCAAACATCCCGATGATGAAGTTTTAACACTTCAGTTTTCATCAGTGCTTCAACCTCGTGCGGGTTAAGGTAAACTCTCCACCCCAGCGTCTTGTCTTTGAAATTGTTTGCTCAGTGAGTTTATAAATATCGGTAAACGGTTAGAACGGTCTGTCTTTGCTCTGAGTGTTTGTGTATTCAAAGTTTGGATAACTTCTACATCAAGTTTTTCCCCCTTTCATCACTGCTTGTTTAACCCTTTCTCCACATTTCTGTTCAGAGAAGCCTCTCATAATTTAATAACAATTATATACAATATAACCCAGACGTTTGGGTGTTCTGTCTTTCGTACATATCGTGCATTTTATAGACAAAGTAATAATAATAAAAAAAAAGAACCCATGAATTCAGCTGAAATAACTGCACAACAGATCGTGTTGGAGCAGCATTTCAAGGATTTCTAGAATTATTTTTGTCTTTTACACCCTAGTCTACAAGGAGAGTTTTATAGTTCCAGTACCTAGTTTTGGTTTTGTTCGCCTCTATTTTTGGTTTAGTGATCTTAATTAGACGTTCCACACTGCTGTTTCTGAAGAACTTGCAAATTTTTCTGTGACTTGTTAATTTCTGGAGATGCGCTTCGTCAGTCATTTTCTCTTCTGTTGAATTTTGTTTTATTCCTTAGTTCGTGCTTTAAAACGGTATGTTTTGTTTGTTTGTTTGTTTTTTGGTAATACCTGTAATATTTTTAAGGAACTTTTTTATCGTTTACAAAATCTTTGTGATCATTTCTCCTCACACACCCTTATCTATACCCCAAAAATTGATTCCGTTTATTAGTTAAAGAAAAACTAATTTTGATTCATTGCTTTTGTTTCGTCGCTGCACGTATCGAACCCTGAATTCCAGCGAGAAAAAAAATTACACTAAACTGAAAACTGAGCTTCTTATACTTCCATAAAATGTCATCATTTCAAACATCTCGACGATGAATTTTTAACACTTCAATTTTCATCAGTGCGTGTTCTCCTTCCTTTCCCGACGAATCAGCAGAGGAAGGACGAATACATTTTCTTCGTCACTATTGTTTAATAACGTTTAGTTTTTAGTCATTGTGATTTCTAGTTTCGATTGTTTGTTTGTTTATAGTTAAGCACAAAGCTACACAGTGAGCTACCTGTGATCTGCCCACCACGGGTATCGAAGTTTATAGCGTTGTAAGTCCGCAGACATACCGCTGTGCCACTTGGGAGCAATTGTGTTTGTTTGTAGTTAAGCACAAAGCTACACAGTGAGCTACCTGTGCTCTGCCCACCACGGGTATCGAAGTTTATAGCGTTGTAAGTCCGCAGACATACCGCTGTGCCACTGGGGAGCAATTGTGTTTGTTTGTAGTTAAGCACAAAGCTACACAGTGAGCTACCTGTGCTCTGCCCACCACGGGTATCGAAGTTTATAGCGTTGTAAGTCCGCAGACATACCGCTGTGCCACTGGGGAGCAGTTGTGTTTGTTTGTAATTAATCACAAAGCTACATTATGG